CCCCTAGTCATGCGAGCTACGCCCCCAGAGCACTCTTCTGGGTCAGACACTGTTCCAAACTCAATTTTGCAAAGTTTGGTAAAACCAACATCACATAAAACTGACCGTTTTAAAGAGACAATCTGTTAACATCAGGAGTTCTACAACCTCCCAGAAACAGTAATGGGAATTGGGATACCTTGAAGGTAGGGGGAAGGCGGAAGGAGAAAGGGGGAACCAATTGCAAGGATCACCTCCACCTTCCCCGGGAGGGGGGACAAACTACAGAAACTTGGGTAAGGGAGACAGCGGAAGGTGTAAGATATGAAAACAATAATTTATCATGTATCCAGGGTTCACGGGAAGGGCAGAAGGAAGAAAAAAAGAAGAGCTGATACCAAGGCTCAGGTAGAAAGAAAATGTTTTGTATTTTATACAAAGGATGTATGGATTGTTGTAAGAGCCCCCAATAAAAGGATTTATATATGGGGGAAAAAGGGGGAAAAACAACAAAAAAGACTTCCAGTGGCTGTGTGACTGGCACCATGATCAGCATACATCCCAGGACACTCCCATACCTGCCCCCACTGGAACGTTTCCCCCATTTGAACAGTGCCATCCACCTCCCCCTGGAGCCCTGGTGGCATTGTGCTGTGAACCGCAAGATCATCGGTTCAAATCCATGAGCTGCTCCTTAGGAGAAAAGCGGGGTTTTCTGATCCTGTGACCTATTTTAGTCTCTGAAACTAAAAGGGGCAGTTATACCCAGTCCTAGAGTGTCACTAGGAGTCAGCACTGACCATTGATGACAGTGAGAGACTCCTCATAGCTCCCCTTTCTGAGACCCTGCTAACCACTCATCTCTGTCCTGTTGGGTTGGCCTCTCCTGGACATGTCCTGTCTCGGCAGTGCAGTGCCTGTTTTCCAGGCTGGCCTGGCTGGCCAATGCACGGCCCTCACGTGCACTGTACAGGTGGGCCATGCTGTACTGACCCCGTCATCAAGTGCGGCGGACACTTAGGCTGTCTCCAAGTCTGTGAGACCCCCATTTTCCCTAATAATAAAGCAAGGACACCTGGCTCTTAAGATGCCAATGTAGTGCTGAACACCTCACAGATGCATAAGGGGTCTAGGGGAGGCTTGGGCTCAGGACACAAAGGGTCCAGTACCCAGAAACCCTCCTTCAGACACCCCCATCAGGGGCCTGGCAAGCAGGAGAGAAGGCTGAGGGTTTGGGGCATCTGGGCCTCCAGGACACTGGGGTCCTCTCCAACGCCCTGCTGGGCCCAAAGGCCAGACACTGAGGAGGCCATGCTGGCCCAGGCTGCTGGTGGCCAAAGAAGGACAGTCATGGGGGTGCTGATGATGGGTGAAGGGGTGGTGACTGAATTGCCTGACTCAAACATATACTCCACCCCCACCCCAATTGTATTTTGCCTATGACTGTGCTGGAGGGGGAGGGGGCTTTGCCTAGAGTGGCGAGTCTTGGCTTTTATCATAGAAGTGTCTAGGCAAGCTCTGAGACCACCATCTCCCAGCCCAGCCCAAGTGTGGCCATGCCAGGGCATGGGCGTGAGCTGGGAGAGAAGGCAGGAAGGCATTCTGTCACCCAACCTCCCTGCAGCCTACAGGCCTGCTTCCTCCCATCCCCTCTCTGTGTCACCACACAGGGCCAGTGGCAGAGCAAAGAGCACCCCCCCCTCCAGACACAAACAGCCGAGACCACACCAGGCTGCCACCCACTCAGACTTTATTCAAAGGCACGTGCAGGGAGGGAGGAAGACTGGGGGCAACTCGACTGCGTTCCAGGTTAACGGTACTTGGAGGTCAGCACAGTGCTCACAGAGCTGAGGAACTTGTCCAGGGAGGCGTGGGCGGCAGGGGTGAAATCGCCGCCCAGGTGGCAGGCCAGAGTCACCAGCAGGCAGTGGCTCAGGAGCTGAGGAGAGAGGGGAAGGTGAGGGGGTATCAGGAGACCCTCCCCTCCACAGACCTCAGCCCTGCCAGCCAAACACGCAGCCCCTGATGCCCCTGGTCTCCCCTTCCTCACCTTGAAGTTGACGGGGTCCACCCTCAGCTTGTAGGCGTGCAGGTCACTCAGCTTGGACAGGGCGCCGGGCAGGTCGTCCATGTGGCCGACGGCGAGGGTCAGCGCATCCGCCACCTTCTTGCCATGGGCCATGATGTCAGCGGAGCCCGGGGTCAGGTCCATGTGAGGGAAGTAGGTCTTGGTGGTGGGGAAGGAGAGGAAGGTCCTGTGGGGAGAAGCCGGGTGAGCACGGGTGGATGGGGGAGGGGGTCCACTGGACTCAGAGGGAGAGGGGCCTGGGTGGGTACCGGCCGCATCAGGGGGTGGGGGGGTGTTGGGCTCAGGTGCATGGAAGCAGGGGAGAGAGGGTCTTCACCTGTCCAGGGCTTCGCCGCCATATTTGCCCACATTGCCGCCGGCCTTCTCCCAGACGGCCTTCACGTTGGCCTTATCAGCAGCAGACAGCACCATGGTGAGATCTTCCTGAGTCTTGTGGAGGGTCAGAAGTGTGCCTGGACGGGAGCGGGTGGCACTTTTATGCCTGGGCCCCTGGGCCACGCCTGCGCGGGCGGTGCTGATTGGCTGGCGCGGTGCAGGGCGCGGACCTGGCAGCAGAGGGCGCGCGCGGGCTCGGGCCCCCGCTTAGAGGAGGGTGGCACCTGCACCCTTCGCCCTTTACTCCCTGTCTGCCTCTCCGGAACCAGCCTGCTCCCCTCCAGCCGTGGGGGTCCGCTTGTAGGGCTCCCCGTGGGCAGACGACCTCAATTCTGTGGGGTCTGTATCACCCCACCCCCGCCCTCTCCAGCTGCTCCCTCCTGCGGGCCCAAGGAGCAGGGCAGCCTGACATGTACCAGGCTAGGCCCTTGAAGGACAGCTCCCACCTTGAGCAGTTTTGATAAGTGAGGGATGTCCCAGCGAGTATGAGAAGGAGCCCTGGAGGCTCCATGGGTAACAAGTTGGGCTGCTAACCGCAGAGTCAGTGGTTCAAAACCAGGAACTGCAGAGGGGGCGAAAGATGAGGCTGTCTGCTCCCTGGAAGAGGTGACTATGGCCAGGGCTGACTGGATGGCAGGGAGTCTGGTGTGATGAGAAAGAGACATTCCTAGTGGAATTCCAGTACAGCCTTGGTTTTTGGTTTCTTGCCAAAGGCCCCGGGGGACAAACAGGGGCTCCTGATTCAAACTCACATCCCCATGGTGGCTCCACCAAAGCCTACTCCCCTACTACCAGTGACCCGCCCTCCCCCGTGTTGTGTGTGGCTATCATGGTTGGAATAACAAGTGTCCAGGTTTGTAATAATGCCACCAACAGTACCCCACATCCAGCCTGACCCAGGTGTCTTCATCAGTCAACTTTTCTGGGCAAGATCTGACCTGTCAGCTGCCTGCAGGGCTCTAACCAGAGCACACAGCAGGAAGCAGATGGCCCAGAGCTCATCAGTGGCAAGAGGGAGCTTGGAGGGGGGTCTGTGAGCCTGTTGTGGGGTGTGGAACTGGGTGGGCGGGTCGCCTGTGGGGTGTGGGGGTGAGATGGCAGGGAGAGTTAGCAGTAAGTGGGAGGGGTGGAGGCTTAGCTGGTGTGTTTGGGGAGGGGCGCATGAGGTTGCAGAATGCGGGTGTTGTCATGTGAGGGGATGCCCAGGCCCGAGGGAGGGCCCTCGGCTGCCTGGGTGAAGCAGTGAGCAGAGCCGTTCCCATAGATGATCAGACTAGCAGGTTCAGGGGAGGAGGTGAAGCAGCAGAGGCTGTGAGGGGCGGCCCAGCCCTCTGTCTTCATCCCTCCCCCAGGACCCACATTCAAGAACTGCTGTGAGGATCCAGGGGGCAAGAAAGTCACGATAACTTGGATTTGGGGACACACCTCAAAGATGTTCCCCCTCTGTGCTTGTCATCTCCTTCCCACTGGGTCCCCTCCCCTCTGTGAGAAACGTCGTCAAAACGTCAGACACTGTATTGGTTCCTCTTGGTAATTGGCAGATCAGTATAAACCCCTGAGCTGGGCCACACCCTTGATGGGTCTGTAGAGAGAGAACTGGGGCAAACTGCCTTATCCCCCGAGTTCACCAATGGGCTCTCACGGGATTTTAACCGACGAACGCTCAAGAAATCCAATCTGTACTGTGGCAAGAGAGAGACCTTTATTGTTTGATTTTGCAAAATCGGACACCCAAATTGGACAAAGGGGTCGGGGGAAACTTACAGGCCCTCTGCAAGCATTTTATTCCCTAGTTCGCCTCCTCCCCGGTTCCTCATTGGCTGAATACTATGGGGTTAACAATCTAAGAGTGTTCTGACCCCTCCAGCAGATTCCCCACCCCTACCCCTACTTTCTTAGTTCATCTGGTTCCCACATTCCAGATCCCAGGTGCCCGAGCTCTGGTCATTGTTCTAACAGTTATCAGTCGGCTCCCTGCGTATTCAGTAACTACCTGACTCTTTGCTCTCTGCTTGCTGAAGATGGACCAGCCTGGTGACTTATTTCTCAAACCTCCATCCTTGCCCCCCTCCCCCCACCCCACTTGCTGCTTGCAGCTCCAACCCCAGTCCTGGTTCTGGAGAAGAAAAAGCATAAGATTCTGGGGACCTAGAAGCAAGTC